CATCTGCACTGTGAAGCGTCCAATGAGTTGTGAAGCATTTGGCTGAATATGAGCCGATAATATTCCCGAAACACTTCACAATTCATCCGGCTGCTTCTGTCAGCCGTCACATCATCAATAAATACAAGAGAAGCAGTTCCATTGGCAGCCATACATGCCCACGCCATGACACTACCACCACCATGATCACTGATGAGGTGGTATGCTGAGGACCATGAGCAGTTCCTTCTCCATACTCTTCTCTTCCCATCACTCGGGTACAAGTTGATGTCGGTCTCATCTGTCCATAGGATGTTGTTCCAGAAACTGTGAAGGCTTTTTTACATGTCGTTTGGCAAACTCTAATCTGGCCTTCCTGTGTGTTTGAGGCTCACCAATGGTTTCCATCTTGTGGTGAACCCTCTGTATTCACTCTGGTGAAGTCTTCTCTTGATTGGTGACTTTGACACACATACACCTACCTCCTGGAGAGTGTTCTTGATCTGGCCAACTGTTGTGAAGGGTGTTTTCTTCACCAGGGAAAGAATTCTTCGCTCATCCACCACAGTTGTTTTCCGTGGTCTTCCGGGTCTGTTGGTGTTGCTGAGCTCACCGGTGCGTTCCTTCTTTTTAAGAATGTTCCAAACAGTTGTTTTGGCCACGCCTAATGTTTTTGCTATCTCTCTGATGGGTTTGTTTTGTTTTATCAGCCTAATGATGGCTTCACTGATAGTGACAGCTCCTTGGATCTCATCTTGAGAGTTGACAGCAACAGATTCCAAATGCAAATAGCACACTTGAAATGAACTCTGGACCTTTTATCTGCTCATTGTAATTGGGATAATGAGGGAATAACACAGACACCTGGCCATGGAACAGCTGAGAAAGCCACTTGTCCGATTACTTTTGGTCCCTTAACAAGTGGGAGGCACATATGCAAACTGTTGTAATTCCTACACCGTTCACCTGATTTGGATGTAAATACCCTCAAATTAAAGCTGTCAGTCTGCAGTTAAAGCACATCTTGTTCATTTCATTTCAAATCCATTGTGGTGTATAGAGCCAAAAATGTTAGAATTGTGTCCATGTCCCAATATTTATGGACCTGACTGTACATAATATATACTGGAGTCATGACAATCATGCAGTTTGTGAAAATGACCAACAATCCTCGTCCCCTGCTCCTGTAACTGACTTCCTGCCTCTCTCATGATAAGATTGCATGGAGTATGACATCCCCAGCAACACCCTGAAGCCGGTCATATATGCAGTCGGCCCGTTCAGCAGGGACCATCTGATCAGTGTATTCTGATGGGGGGCGGGGAATTCTCTGCTGTCAGAATACAAAAGGTCAGCAGGAAGGTCATTATCATAGTGTGTACCCCTTATAGTTATACTGTAATATCAATGTATCTATCTCTCCCCCTCCACCCCTTCCTCCTCCTCCCTTCTCCTCTTCTCTCTGCTCTCACCTCCCCCCCCCCTTCTCTTCCCTCTGTCTTCTCTCTCTCCCCTCCTCTCTTTCCCCTCCCCTCCCTCTCTCTCTTCCCCCCCCTCTCTTCTCTCTCCCTCCTTCTCTCCCCCCCCCCCTCTCTCCCTCCCTCCCTATCTCTCTCTCCCTCCCCCTCTCTTCTCCCCCTCTCTCTCTTTCCACCCCTCTCTCTCTCTTACCCCCCCCTCTCCTTTCTCCCCCCCCTCTCTTACCCCCCCTCTCCCTCCTCTCTCTCCCCATGTCTCCTCTGTCTCTCTCCTCCCCCCTCTCCCTCTCCCCCCCCTCTCTCTCTCTTTCTCCCTCTCCCACTCCTCTCTCTCTCCCCCTCTCTCTCTCCTCTCCCCCTCTCCTCTCTCCTCTCTCTCCCCCCCCCTCTCTCCTCTCTCTCCCTCCTTCTCCCCTCTCTTCTCCCCCTTCCTCTCTCTCCCCCCTCTCCCTCCCCCTCTCTATCTTTCCCCTCTCTTCCCCCCCCTCTCTCTCTCGCCCCCTCTCTCCCCTATCTCCCCTCTCTCTCCCCTCCATCTCTCTCCCCCCTCTCTCCCCCCTCTCCTTCTCTCTCCTCTACCCCCTCTCCTCTCTCTCTCTCTCCCCCCCTCTCCCTCTCTCCCCTCTCTCTCCTCTCCTCTCTCTCTCCCCTCTATCTCTCTCCTCTCCCCCCCCCCTCTCTCCTCTCCCCCCTCTCCTTCTCTCCCCCCCTCTCTCTCTTCTCTTTTCTCTCATTAGGCAGAAGGATCCTTAGAATGGTGGAATGGTCCTGCTTGACAACCTCCTTCCATCGTCTTGCAGCCACTTGCAGGCGGAGCGTCTCTGACCAATGATACTGTTGATGTATATTGTTACTCTTGAAGGATTTTCTCATGTAAAGTCCCTGACAGGTCCACTTTAATCTGATCTAAGAACAATGACCTACATCCCATTTTCCTCTTCCCATCCCCCCAATCCCCATTTTCCAGGAGCCCAGTGGAGAGGAGAACTCTACAAGCGGGAGGGACACGTATAGAGGGGTCAGCCCCGGCCGTAGGGTCAGGTTGGGGTTAATTACAGGAAATGATTCCAGAATAGGATTCCAGGGAAATGTTTAATCCCAAAATGTGGAACAACAATGCCGAAACAGCGGAGGACCTAGAAGCCATGGCGGCCCAGCGCACTCCGGACATTTCTGACACAAGGTGACCTTGGCACCCCAAGTGTTGTAGAGGAACCCCATCCTGCGCTCCTTGTCATCAGTACATTATGGCCTAGTCTTGCTGATTGTCCTGTCACTGTCCCATTTTTACACTGCTGTATCGTCACAAATTGGCCAGCAGCTGGTCAGCTTTGCAGCAGTTTTTCTAAAAAAAGGCCGCAATATATTTGCCCGGCTTACCGGGAAGGTCAGTATTATAGTGTGAACCCCTTATATATTTATACTGTAATATCAATGGATCTATTCTCCCTCCTCCCTTCTCCTCTCCTCTCTTTTCTCTCTCTCTCTCTTCCTCTCACCCCCCTCTCTCTCTCTCTCCCTCTCTCTCTATTTCTCTCTCCTCTCTTTCTCTCTCCCCCCCTCCTTCTTGCTCTCCTCTCTCTCTCTCTCTCTATCCCCTCTCTCCCCCCTCTCTCTCCCCCCTCTCCCCTCCCCCCCGCTCTCCCCCTCTCCTCTTCCCTCTCTCTCTCTCCCTATCTCTCTCCTCTTCTCCCCTCCACTCCTCTTCCCTCTCCCCCCCCTCCCCCCCCTCTCTCTCTACTACCCCTCTCCCCCCTCTCTCCCTCCCTTCTCTCCTCTCTCTATCTCCCCCCTCTCTCTCTCCCTCCTCTCTTTCCTCTCCCCCCTCTCTCTCCTCTTCTCTCCCCCCTCTCTTTCCTCTCCCCCCTCTCTCTCCTCTTCTCTCCCCCCCCTCTCCCTCCCTCACCCCCTCTCTCTCCCTCTCTATCTCCCTCCATCTCCCTCTCCCCCTCCCCTCTCTAACTCTCTCTTCCCCCCCTCTGCCTCTCTTCTCCCCCCCTCTCTCTCCCCTAACCCCCCCTCTCTGCCCTCTCCCCCCTCTCTCCCTCCCTCCCTCTCTCTCTTGCTCTCTCTCCCTCTCCCCTAACCCCCCTCTCTCTCCCTCTCCCCCCCCCTCTCCCTCTTCCTTTTTTTTGCACTTTTTTTCCCTTTCCCCCCCTCTCTCTCTCCCCCTCTCTCTCTGCACTCTCTCTCCTCCCCCCTCTCTCTCCTCCCCCCCCCTCTCTCTCCCCCTCTCTCTCTGCACTCTCTCTCCTCCCCCCCTCCCTCTCTCCCCCCTCCTCTCTCTCTCCTCCTCTCTCTCTGCACTCTCTCTCCTCCCCCTCTCCTCTCTCTCCTCCCCCTCTCTCTCCCCCCCCCCCCCCCCTCTCAGCTTTGCAGTAGTTTGCCTATCGGCCCTAAGAAAAGGCCGCAATTTATTCGCCCGCATAAACTTCAATGGGATTTTCCTCTAAATTCACCGAAACTTCAGACAGGATTTGCCAAACCCTCTGCGACTCGGTCCCGGGCAGGACTGCTAATGCCCGCCTCCTGTCCAAAGGAAGCCAATCAGATGGCTAAGACTGACGCTGCATGTGTGGCTTATCCTGTAATCTCAGCAGCTGCATCTTGTGTGTTGTTAATAGGAGAATCTACATATCTGTGGTTATTACAGCAGAGTGTATGTTTAATCACCCCTCCCTGGTCCCCCCTCCCTCATCAACATGCTAAGGACATTTTCCTTTCCATTTTTGTAACGCACCTTATTTTAGTCCCAGTGATCTCATCACTGGGTCTCTGTGCTTCTCTATGCATTGCAGGCAGATCATGGCTGGTGTCTCAGGAGTCTCAGGAGCCCGAAGTCCTGATGCAAAGAGTGGAAGGAGATATGCAAATGTCAGAATGCCGTAATGGGCGGATGGCAGGCTAGAGCAGTGAGTGTTCCTAGGCGGGATGTGTTTAATGTATAATGCCCACATGTGATGCTGAACCTCTATGGTGGAAAGAACTGAAAGCCAATGAATGGAAAGGGGGCCAGTGACAGTCAGGCTGAGGAGGAAAAAGCTAGATGATGCCGGACGTCCTCCAGCCAGGAAAGGAGGCGGAGCTCTATCTGACTGGCTGCAGCTTCTAATGCACATTGTGAGAAGCTCCCAGTGTGCAGTGACATCAGTCCAGGGGAGGAGCTGCTACACCTGTGCAAGACTGAAGGGGAGGAGCTGCTACACCTGTGCAAGACTGAAGGGGAGGAGCCGGTACACCTGTGCAAGACTGAAGGGGAGGAGCCGGTACACCTGTGCAAGACTGAAGGGGAGAAGCTGGGACACCTGTGCAAGACTGAAGGGGAGGAGCTGCTACACCTGTGCAAGACTGAAGGGGAGGAGCTGCTACACCTGTGCAAGACTGAAGGGGAGGAGCCGGTACACCTGTGCAAGACTGAAGGGGAGAAGCTGGGACACCTGTACAAGACTGAAGGGGAGGAGCAGGTACAGCTGTGCAAGACTGAAGGGGAGGAGCCTATAAACCTGTGCAAGACTGAAGGGGAGGAGCTGGGACACCTGTGCAAGACTGGAGGGGAGGAGCAGGTACACCTGTACAAGACTGGAGGGGAGGAGCCGGTACACCTGTACAAGACTGGAGGGGAGGAGCCGGTACACCTGTACAAGACTGGAGGGGAGGAGCCGGTACACCTGTACAAGACTGAAGGGGAGGAGCCGGTACACCTGTGCAAGACTGAAGGGGAGGAGCCCGTACACCTGTACAAGACTGGAGGGGAGGAGCCGGTACACCTGTGCAAGACTGAAGGGGAGGAGCTGCTACACCTGTGCAAGACTGGAGGGGAGGAGCCGGTACACCTGTACAAGACTGAAGGGGAGGAGCCGGTACACCTGTGCAAGACTGAAGGGGAGGAGCTGGTACACCTGTACAAGACTGGAGGGGAGGAGGTGGTACACCTGTACAAGACTGAAGGGGAGGAGCCGGTACACCTGTGCAAGACTGAAGGGGAGGAGCTGCTACACCTGTGCAAGACTGGAGGGGAGGAGCCGGTACACCTGTACAAGACTGAAGGGGAGGAGCCGGTACACCTGTACAAGACTGAAGGGGAGGAGCCGGTACACCTGTACAAGACTGAAGGGGAGGAGCTGGTACACCTGTGCAAGACTGAAGGGGAGGAGCTGGTACACCTGTGGAGGACTGGATGGGAGGCCGTAGTTCAGATTTGACAGTAAAACCTCGCAGTGGTGCCCCTTTAATTGAACCATGTGCCCCCTCGCCTCCCCCTGAAATTGAGGGGCACTCCGGATCTTGGCTCTCATTAATCCTCGGCCAATGTTTATCTTGCCGCACGTGAGTCCTGTTGACTTTTTTGCTCCTGTTTGCTGAGTGAAGGTCTCAGAGTCTGCTGCCGCTGTCAGAACTTTGATGGGGGGGGAATCGCTCCCCCAGTTCGCGGCTGAGTGACGAGGTGACAACGGACGGGGTCCCTGGTGACGGAAGAGTGAAAACAAAAACAAATGAAGAGACTGTAAAAACACGGAGCCGGCCCGGGAAAACATTCTATGTACTTAACGTGACGATAGGATTTCACGGCGAACGGTTCGCGTTGCGTCATACTGCAGCCGCGCCAAGAAGACTACGGAGGGCGCCGCAGAGCCCGGGTCCGGCCTAGTAATATTTCTACATTCGGATGGAGCCGGGAAGAGCTGAAGATTCCGCTGTTCTTTATTTCTGTCTCTGACTCTATTGGGGAGTATGTACCCCATACTCATTCACAATGGGAGGGGCCAGGGTCTGATAAGCCCCCCCACAGACCCCCACAACCACAGCCCAGGGTTGTGGGGAAGGGGCCCTTGTCCCCATCAACATGTGGACAAGGTCCTTGGGGGGAGGGAAGCCCCTGTACCCCAAAGAACCTCCCCATGTTGAGGGCATGTGGCCTGGTACGGTTCAGGAGGGGGCGCTCGTTCATCCCCCCTTTCCTGGCCTGCAAGGCCTGTGCTCCGATCAACAGTCGGTTGGGAATTTAGCGGGGAACCCCATGGTTTTCCCCCCATTTTTTTTGTGGGGGGGGGGGGTTCCATTTAAAAGTCCTACTAGGCCTAAAGGTATGGCTTTTAGGGGGAACCTCATGCACTTTAAAAAAAAAATTACTGTGGAGTCCCCCCTAACCTTCCTACAGACCTAAAGAGTCTGGTATGGATTGGGGGGGGGGGACCCCCACGCTGTGTTTTTTTTTTTAATAAAAATTTTATTTAAAAAAAAAAATGTCAGTCCTATTGCAACAGGTTCTATACATTGTACAGATGTGCAACTTTGCAGGTGGTTTAAAGTCCCCCCCCCCCAGCATGATATTTAAAGGGATTTTTTCTTTTACTTTAACCACTTCTTGTCCGGCCCCATGTATATAAACGTCCTCCCCACTCCCTGCTTGTGTGCGCTCCCTGGGAACCGCGCAGCACCAAGATCCGGTGGGTGAAAGTGTCCAGACTGGAAGGGGGAAAGTGTCCGGACTGGAAGGGGGGAAAGTGTCCGGACTGGAAGGGGGGGAAAGTGTCCGGACTGGAAGGGGGGGAAAGTGTCCAGACTGGAAGGGGGGAAAGTGTCCAGACTGGAAGGGGTGAAAGTGTCCGGACTGGAAGGGGGGGGAAGTGTCCGCACTGGAAGGGGGGGGGGGGGAAGTGTTTGGACTGGAAGAGGGGAAAGTGTCCGGACTGGAAGGGGGGAAAGTGTCCGGACTGGAAGCTGGGGGGGGAAGTGTTTGGACTGGAAGAGGGGAAAGTGTCCGGACTGGAAGGGGGGAAAGTGTCCGGACTGGAAGGGGGAGAAAGTGTCCGGACTGGAAGGGGGGGAAAGCGTCCGGACTGGAAGGGGGGGAAAGTGTCCGGACTGGAAGGGGGGGAAAGTGTCTGGACTGGAAGGGGGGAAAGTGTCCGGACTGGAAGGGGGGGGGGGAAAGTGTCCGGACTGGAAGGGGGGGGGGGGTGTCCGGACTGGAAGGGGGGGGAAAGTGTCCGGACTGGAAGTGCTTAAGCAATGGAAAACGATTTCCCCTTTATAAACGGTACTTTTTAAAAAAATTTTCCCTGCTTCCTGTCCCTCAGGACCCCCCTGAGCCCCCCCTCCAATAACTCGCACAGAAGCCTTCAAAATGGGCACTTTTGAATTTACGAGTCCCATAGACTTGCACTAAGTTCGATCTTCGTGGTCGAATTTTCGCTATGTTTGACCACCAAATGAACACGTGGGGGGTGGGTGGGGGGGGGGGGGGGGGGGGGGGGGGGGGGGGGGGGGGGGGGTTGTTCAGCCCATCACTATGTGAATGTGGAGAACTAAAATGTATCAAAGCGAAGCCCACGGGCCCGACAATTCCTGATGTCCGATCATTTCCCGTGACTACATCCTACAGATGATCAGATATAAAACGATTTCTCGTTGATCGAACGATTCCCATGATATCACATTAAAGCCTAAAAATAGAATCATTGTTTCTGTTTCGCGGGACTCAGATCTCGCTCTTCATTCCGATCGCTGTGATTGGAGGTGACAGCCGTGACCTCAGGTAACCCCGCACAACTGGTGTCAGTGGGAGGAATAGTGCCCCATCATTGGTGTCAGTGGGAGGAATAGTGTCCCATCATTGGTGTCAGGGGGAGGAATAGTGCCCCATCATTGGTATCAGTGGGAGGAATAGTGCCCCATCATTGGTGTCAGTGGGAGGAATAGTGCCCCATCATTGGTGTCAGTGGGAGGAATAGTGCCCCATCATAGGTGTCAGTGGGAGGAATAGCGCCCCATCGTTGGTGTCAGTGGAAGGAATAGCGCCCCATTGTTGGTGTCAGTGGGAGGAATAGCGCCCCATCGTTGGTGTCAGTGGGAGGAATAGCGCCCTATCATTGGTGTCAGTGGGAGGAATAGTGCCCCATCATTGGTGTCAGTGGGAGGAATAGTGCCCAATCATTGGTGTCAGTGGATGGAATAGTGCCCCATCATTGGTGTCAGTGGAAGGAATAGTGCCCCATCATTGGTGTCAGTGGATGGAATAGTGCCCCATCATTGGTGTCAGTGGGAGGAATAGTGCCCCATCATTGGTGTCAGTGGATGGAATAGTGCCCCATCATTGGTGTCAGCGGATGGAATAGTGCCCCATCATTGGTGTCAGTGGGAGGAATAGTGCCCCATCATTGGTGTCAGTGGGAGGAATAGTGCCCCATCATTGGTGTCAGTGGATGGAATAGTGCCCCATCATTGGTGTCAGTGGATGGAATAGTGCCCCATCATTGGTGTCAGTGGATGGAATAGTGCCCCATCATTGGTGTCAGTGGGAGGAATAGTGCCCCATCATTGGTGTCAGTGGGAGGAATAGTGCCCCATCATTGGTGTCAGTGGGAGGAATAGTGCCCCATCATTGGTGTCAGTGGGAGGAATAGTGCCCCATCATTGGTGTCAGTGGATGGAATAGTGCCCCATCATTGGTGTCAGCGGATGGAATAGTGCCCCATCATTGGTGTCAGTGGGAGGAATAGTGCCCCATCATTGGTGTCAGTGGGAGGAATAGTGCCCCATCATTGGTGTCAGTGGATGGAATAGTGCCCCATCATTGGTGTCAGTGGATGGAATAGTGCCCCATCATTGGTGTCAGTGGATGGAATAGTGCCCCATCATTGGTGTCAGTGGGAGGAATAGTGCCCCATCATTGGTGTCAGTGGGAGGAATAGTGCCCCATCATTGGTGTCAGTGGATGGAATAGTGCCCCATCATTGGTGTCAGCGGATGGAATAGTGCCCCATCATTGGTGTCAGCGGATGGAATAGTGCCCCATCATTGGTGTCAGTGGGAGGAATAGTGCCCCATCATTGGTGTCAGTGGGAGGAATAGTGCCCCATCATTGGTGTCAGTGGATGGAATAGTGCCCCATCATTGGTGTCAGTGGATGGAATAGTGCCCCATCATTGGTGTCAGTGGATGGAATAGTGCCCCATCATTGGTGTCAGTGGGAGGAATAGTGCCCCATCATTGGTGTCAGTGGGAGGAATAGTGCCCCATCATTGGTGTCAGTGGGAGGAATAGCGTCCCATCATTGGTGTCAGTGGATGGAATAGTGCCCCATCATTGGTGTCAGTGGATGGAATAGTGCCCCATCATTGGTGTCAGTGGGAGGAATAGTGCCCCATCATTGGTGTCAGTGGGAGGAATAGTGCCCCATCATTGGTGTCAGTGGGAGGAATAGTGCACATAAGGAGGTATTATTCCTTGTCAGGTGGAGGGACTGAGCTGGAATCGCTTCCTGTAGCAGTCCCCCGGATCGGATGCGAATGTTCCTGTGAATGGATACAGAGCTGTCTTCTGTGATAGGACGGCCCGGAGTTCTGCTTTCAGATAAATGATCTCAGAATTGTCTCCGATGAATAATAATAAATATAATAGTAAAATAATAGAATAAAAACCTTTCCTGGCTGAATGGAGGAATGGTGGGAGAATCTCTGCGGGGGGGGGGGGAGGGTCACAATAATTGTTCCGAGAGACGAGTCATTGACTTTTCAGGAAATGAGTTTTTGTGTTTTGGGCTCCGGATTGTCCCTCCAATCAGTGACTGTGAGTTCAGCAAAGTGGAACCGGCTCCTTGTGTGTGGCCCCCGTCCTGATCTCCACAGCTGGATGGCCCCTGTGTGCGATACGGCATTGGGGGGGTCGTCCAGACCTGATCCCTGAGGGCCACATTCTGTGACACCATTCTTCTCGGTGAAAGGAACGCGTCTCCTGGAATACATCATCTGCTATTAATTCTCAGAATCCTTGTTATGGGGACAGGGCAGCTTGGAACCCCCCGGAGTCCCCTCTTGGAACCCCCCCGGAGTCCCCTCTTTGAACCCCCCGGAGTCCCCTCTTTGAACCCCCGGAGTCCCCTCTTGAAACCCCCCTGGAGTCCCCTCTTTGAACCCCCCCC